CAGAACATGCCATGGCCATCACCGAGACGAGTGACGGGGCAGTCCGGAGGCACTCTTATCGGCAGGTTCCATGTGTCACAAAAAAAGCACCATGGACGATGAGGCAGCGCCGTCGCAGAAGAAGCCATGGAAAAATCTAAGGAGCTGCACGAAGAACAAGCAGTGATTAGGCATCGTTCCGGCGTCACCGCTGTTCTGCCCACTGAAGGGATGTGCTAACGGGATGTCCTTTATAGTCTCCCATGTAGACGTCGCTGTCCGCAGGTGACCAGTAACTGGCTAACAACAATGGCCTCAATCAATAGTTCAGCACGTGGCAGGCCGTTCGAAAAGCCGCAGAACATGCCATGGCCATCACCGAGACGAGTGACGGGGCAGCCCGGAGGCACTCTATCGGCAGGTTCCACGTGTTGCAAAAAAGGCACCATGGACGATGAGGCAGCACCGTCGCAGAAGAAGCCATGGGAAAATCTGGGGAGCTGCACGAAGAACAAGCAGTGACTAGGCATCGTTCCGGCGTCACCGCCGTTCTGCCCAGCGTTGAGCGCTTCATGGACAACATTCTGCGTGGATTGAAGTGGGAAGTGTGTATGTGTTACTTGGATGACATAGTAATTTTTGGGCGCACCTTTTGTGAGCATAACACACGACTCAGCCCTCTAAGTATAACAAATTATAAAATGTTAGGACTTGCACCATACTGAAAGTCAAATCCTGCTAACTGTTTAAAGTTCTTTCCCCTTTCTTTGAATGAAAAAAAAAATTGCATTTGCATAGAGGCCCTATTTCAGTTTAAAAAATATTGTGGAGGTCAATAACGTCATGATAAATATGCCCTTTTTTTTTGTATGCCATATATACTATTCGAATTCAATTCCCAAAATCACTATTCGCTCCTAACCTAAAATTCACTACAGTATTCTCACCAGCCTAGATATTTTCATGAACAAGAAAAAGTGCAGTGTGAGAAGTCTTAGAATGCTCAGCCCATACTAATTGCTTACTTTAGGTTTACAATAAGTGATGTAAGGTTTGAAAGGAAAAAATTGCATTCATCACATGTTAAGGAATACGTTGCCAAAGTTTCATCCATATCTAGGCATCAGAAGTGCCAAAAATATGATGTCCAATCTTAAAAAGATGCCAACAATTGCATTTTAGAAAAATTCATTTTAAACATATAAATGAAAACTCACCAATGTGGCAAAGATATACCTTTTAAAATGATCTCTTCCATTATGAGAGCTTATAAATCATTGTAATTTTTAAGCCTGCATCTTTGGTGAACAGCAACGGCAAGCAGCCAGGTGACAATCTACTGGGGTCACTAGACAATCAGCTCTTTATAGTTTTTAACTGCAATATTATGCTTTTAAAAAGCATCTTTAAAAGCACCTATTTTAGCCTACGTCAAGCTTAAATACAACCTTCATTTTTTTTGTCATGAAAGTAGCGACACTAAACTTGTGAAAGCAAGTAAAAACAAAAAAATATCTAATCATGGAAAAGACTGGCCTTTTTCGAGTAGCATCTCCTTTTGAGTGTTCCATTTTCATTTTTTTGAAAATTTCCTTACCATATGTGCCAATTTTTTTATTGTTGATTTTGTGTCATGCTGCACTAAAAAGTAAATATTTATAGTTGAAAAAAAAATATTTGCCCTACATTTTCTGAAGTGGGATTGCTCACTGGGATGAAAGCATTTCAGCTTTTCTGTGACACTGTGATTTATTTTGCCAACCAAAAGCTAAACGAGTTGATTGTCGGTAAAACTGTTCTAGGTACTCCAGAAGACTGTATGGCAATATCGAATGGAAGCCTCGCTTGGAATGGCCAAAAATGGACACTAAGAAGGCTTTGCATGAGGATTGTCAACAATAAGCTTCACCCATTGACAAGCACTCGCAATGTTCACTTCAGGGATGTTCTCATCCTCACCAGAAGAACAGCTTAATTCAGCATTATTGCTGTCTTCTTGCCTTCCGGCCACTAGATAAACATCACTACTCAAACCATCTCTATTGGGAAAAGACCACAAAGATACTGTACCACGAGAAAAGCTTTTTCGGAGAATCCACCGGACGCAACGAACTTGGGAGGTGTGGCACGATGCTCACCCAACAGGAGCATTGCATACGACAATAGCTCCGCTGAACACAGCACCAGTCCAGTTACGTTTGGGTACCCCCACGTATGTGGTATGCTGTATTGCGAGTGTTATGGTCCCTGTGTGTTGTACTTGCCTTGATGTAAAATATGTTCATAAATGTACACTTGCATTTTCCTCAATGGTGTGACAGTGTCTGTTTTCTGTTTCGAGAGCAGCTCATTTTCAAACTCCACTCTGGTGCCCCATCTAGGGCTTAGAAACAGAGTTCTGTTTGCTGGCCTTTTGAACCATTTGAGAGTACATTTACCTGTACATGTACATCATTGCCCGTATGTTTAAAAATGCAAGCCTTTTTCAATCATTTCTGTTGCCTGGAGTGTGTTGCCACATTGTGGGAGTACATGAAATTATTTTATAGTGTCAATGCCCCTCAGTTTTTTTTTAATGCTTTCCTACAGCAATGCACCAAATATTTCCAAAGGTGACTGATTCATTACTCTCTGATTTATTGCTCCCCAGTAAGCGATTACACCTGTTTCCATGCAGGCCCTGACTGACACAAGTGATGTAGCTCCATTTATTCTTTCAGGGACTCACTCACATAAACTGATTCCGTTTCGTTGGCAATAAGCCGAATGATTATTATAAGTTGTGGAGGTAGGCTTGTACAAGAAGCTTACCCTATAAAGCACACTTATGAGAAGCGACCTACTGGTGCAATGCGTCTACCTCTCTGCAGGCCTGTGAGCGTCTGCCCGGCGCTCGTTCGCCGGGCCAAAGCAAGCTAAGGAGAGCGGGGCTGTCAAAGGTGGCCAGTGAGAATCGGCAAAGCACAATGACGTACGCTAGCGTGACGCAAGGGGAAGGCATTATTCAGGCAGGCTCGAACACGTATCTTTGCACAGGGAAAACTAACGTGAGGCTTGTGCCAGACAAGAAGGCCTGGTGGCGAAACCACAGTGGCCATGTTTCCTGAAGTTGACCTGCATGGGGCCAGCACTCGTGCTAGCTGGGGAACGAAGTGCCAAAAAGGAGAGCGCATTCAATTGTGTAGGACCTTTCTTATGCATTCTAGATGAGCTCACCGATGCAGTTTATTACCACTATGGAAGTGTGCGCTTATTTATTTGCCACAAGAGAGTTTAGTGGTGATTCGTCCAAATCACTGCTCAAATGCCAAATTAGAATCTGATTCAGTATGTTGATGAGCGGGTGACATCTGAAAAACTTGCACAGCAAGAAGACACTGAATGGACCAAAAGTGGCTTTTTCTTCTCCATGTTCCCCCTTGACGCCACTTCGCGCATTCATTTTTCTATGTCTATAAACTACACAGACGTTTACTGCAATGGATAATTCCTCAACAGTTGTACGGCTTTTTTCAAATTTATCTAGCTGCTGCTCATGAATAAAATATGCCTATGTAACAACGCAAAAAACTTTTTTTAGATGCAATATCAATAAGAACTAACAAACAATGATGCTAAAGGAACTATTGCGGATGCAATTAAAAGTAATTGTAATATATATGTGAAGAAAAAACGTTGACGAAAAGGTACCTTGCTGTGGACAGGAACCGAACCTGTGACCTTCGAATAACGAGCTAATCGAAGGTCACAGGTTCATTTGATGTGTTATTCAAAGGTCTCAGGTTCACTCCCTGCCACTGGCAAGTTATCTTTTGGTCCACTTTTCTTTCTTCAGATGTATGTAATAATTACTTCTAATAACATCCCCAATAGCAGTTTCCTTGTCATGATTGTTGATTAGTTCTCATTATTACTGTGCCCAACAAAGAAAATGAGCACAAAAAAGTTTACACTGCTTTCTTTTAAACATTTTTTTTTGGTTGCTTTACAATCACCCAAATATACTTTATACAATTTTTTAAAAATAGATTATCTGAAAAATTTAATTCAGTAATTAAAAAAATACACAATGGGGAAACACATTTCGCAAAAAATATCTGACCCACAAAGGGCTTAAGATTGTCCTTTGCAACATTGAGATTACTTAGAAGCTTGGTAATTTGGTCTAGTTAGTATAACATGATGACTGTTATAGCGTCAGCTCAGAAAGACAACAAAAGGACAAGAAGATGAGCACTAGCGAGATTTAACGCTTGTCTTCTTATGCCTTTGTCGTCGTTCTAAGCTCACGCTTTAACAATGATCATTGCGATTATAATGACAGGTGCATGAGCAATACTCCTGCACTCTCAAAGTTAAACCAATACAATATTTCAAGTATAAACTGAAGAAAAAGCATGAGGCTGTAAAAAAATTTTCTATGCTGCTTTAATGATAGTTGACAGACCAGATGGTACATACTGAGCGTGAAACAGCACACCTAGGCGGGACAGTAAGCCACAAGAAGCGTACATACACAGCGCTGCTACAGCTACATAAACGTTAAACTTTCGTTGATACATCAAAGTGTCTCAACAGGACTTCGAATATTATCTGACAAAAAGGTATAAATCGTTGTTCATGCAAGCAAAAAACTTACCCACCCCATATTTTTCTTTTTTTTTATGACTTTGTCAACACACAGCATTTTTCTTAAGGGCTTTTTACATATGCCACTATTCAATCTATTCACTGCAAAATCATCTGACACTGATTATATTTAATTAAACTTTACTTCAACACAAAGAATTGATAGTCACACAAGCCTAGAATATATTTCGCTGGACTGCAAACCAACTGTCTATCTCCAAAGACCCTTTGATGGTGCTGGCAAATATACTTGCAAGAAGCATTTCTTTCTGCTAGTTGTGTTAAATATTAGACAGAAGCTGTAAAAAAAACGAGATCGTTAAGTATTTTCATTACATCCTAAATGAATCCTCCTAGCTGAAGCTCAGTGGTTGATTATATGACGCTCTTACCGTGTGCTAGTGATGAAATCGTAAACAGGCAGCTGCACCACTTTTTCCTGCAAGATGTCCCTCAGCGTTGATGCCATCAACTCGTCATCAAACACATCTGCATATACAGATATCACACAAAAAATGTAATCATCAAGAAAAAAAGGGACGCAAGAGGCTCAATTTGTATTTGTCACAGTTATAATGAAGCCAACAGACACTTAGAAGTGCAGAGAGTGTAAAGGAAATGACTTTTAGATAATTGAAATTAATGAGTGATTTAGGAAGCAAAGGAGTGACTCAGGAACCAAGACGGCCGACAACTGTCAAGTGACAGACATAGCTGCATTACTTTCAGTGCTTACCCAATTCACACTAGTGCTCAGACACTTTGACGCACAAAGCAGCATCTTTAACATTGAAAAATTTAACATTGAAAAGTTAAGCGAGCTGAGAGGGCTGCCTTAACTCTAAAAACATTGAAAAACATTTTGAAAGTTAAGCCAGCAAGCTCAACGTGGTTTAAAACTAAGTGGTGAGACAACAGTCGCACAACTTCACAGAAATATCCAAGGAAAAGCCTAGAGCGATGAAAAACTTAACTTAGACATTGGTGATGCGTTTTATCGATAATCGGTCCCTACAGAAAAGCATGCACAGTGATTGTGCAAGCTTCAATTTGCATCCTAGATTACTCTGTTTCATCAGTTTATAAATAAACTGCTGAAAATTAAAATTATGTCTTATAGAAACAGGCCCTTCTGAATGGTCAGCAGTCTAGGAACTTCCAAGATGTCACCGAACCATAATTGCCTTGGTTATTTTGAATTTCATATTTAAACTTATTGCTTTCCAAAATTGCCAGGCCTACAGGGAAAGCAAAGCACAGTCACAGCGCATTTCTATAGCCCATTAGAGACCCTCTTAGGGCTACAGGGCTACTGATACAAACAAGCTTATAACATTCCCACTATGCCAAAAATCATAATTTCTGTCAAATTGGGAAGTACCATGCGATCCTCCCCACTACAAGATAAGGGCACGCGACTGAGTGTCTACACCCTCCTCTCCACGGGGCAAAGTACGCGTGCCGACGCGTTGTGACGATGTGGCGACGAGCACTCTTGCGCCATCTCGCTGGTAACGCTGAAAACAAGATAGTGTGTGTGTGCCCGTCCCCAAGATGCCCGTCACCAGCGATAAGTGGTACATATAAATAGCTTGCCATTTGAACGTTGAGGGACGCGCTCCTCCGTGGCTCAGTAGTCAACACCTCGCACTCATGTTTCAGAGGTCCCAAGTTCAATTCTGTGCTGAATTCTTTTTTCAGGATTTTTTTCTTTATTGCATTTTCATATATACAGATCAATATATATATACGTTGAGTAACGGCAATGCCCACGTCAACATTGGCAAAATCCAGCCGAGAGTGTCCATATAATTGCTATCCCAATAAAATCATAAATAATAATTTTTGTCAAGTTGGGAAGCACCTACTACACAGTTATTCATCATTCTGCAAAGAAGCGAGGTATCCGCCATAAATTTCCAGGGCTTTATGTGCACTTTATCGATGCGGTGGCTAATGATGATGAATTTTGTTTGAGCCCTTAGCAATGCGTTGAAGACATTCAACGACCAACTGGTTACACAATTCGTATTCTGGAATGCCTGTTTACACAATTCGTATTGTAGGATGCCTGTTTACATAATTTTCATCGTGTGATGCATCGTTGTTATTTAACTCTTCTACCACGCTATATTACATATAGTAACAAGACTCCTTCCCAACACAACACACGTATATGGTCTAATTGAAAACAACTTCAAGCGCCAGCATGGCTCTGTGGTGGAATGCTGGGCTGCCACAGAGAGGGCCCAGGTTCGAACCCGTTTCCATCCTGGATATATTTTATAATTTAGTTTACCTTTTAAAAATTTCACATGATAGCGGTTACCAACACTGGTCACCGCGGACAACTATGGCACCAGAAATGACCTTCGTTGCGATCTCATAATAGCTTTCAAAGCAAAAAGTGATTACAAGATCACAAGTACACAGGTGGGGGCCCCACGAGTAATTTTTAAATACTGCAAGAGAAGCACAAGATGTAAGAGATCAAGGCAAATCATTTGGAAGTAAAAATGCAGTGAACACGTTTTCTAACATAATTACAGTAAAACCTTATTATTTCAAACTTTGTTATTTCAAAATCTCAATAAATTCGATGTATTTCAGCAGTCCCATGAGTTCATAATATGAAGCAACGGTCAACACCAGTCCGGTTAATTCGACAACTTTGGGTACAGTGTACCGATTCCCGATCCTGATTTCGTCGTGGAACCGTAAAAACAAGAACCCTTAGGAGCCACTAGGCAATGTACTGTATTGATACTACTGAGCGGTAGATGAAGTACCCCAGCCTAGATACTACCAGCAGGAAAAATAAAACATAAAAATAGACGGTCTCATGATCAACTAAAATGTGCGCCTGCAGAAAACAAGACGTGCTTTACTGCAACATAGTGACGACGCGCGGGCAGCATGTTGCATCCTTCTCGAAACGTCGGCCCGTCATGATTTACCCATTCTTTCTGGGATTATAAACAAATTAATAAACGAAAGCCTGGCAGAATTCGTGATGTATGCGAACCTTCGAGTGCCGGTTGATCCAGCAATTCCACATTTGCACTGCTGACGGAGTTCTTGCTTGCTACGCCTACTTCGGAAAATCAGTCCGAAAGCTTCAATCATCATGTTTTCCAGTCACAACATAGCTAGTTTTGTCACGCTGTCTATTATTGTTTATTTTACTAAAAATAATGGGCAAATAGTTGCATCATGATGTGCTGATGCAGCGAGAAGCAAGCGACATGCTGCTTGCTTGTCACTACTGTATTGCAGTGAAGACGCCTTATTTTTAGCAGGTGTGGATTATTTTTCGCAGGTGCAGGTATCCGAGTTGAAGGAATGGGACTTGATATACCCGATTGAAAGCAGCTTTGCGCACCTGGTGGTGTGCGTTGCAAAGAAAGACGGTACGATGAGAATGTGCATTGACTACCGCCAACTGAATTCCATCACAGAATGGGGAAAACGGCGGAATTACTTTATGAAGTGGCGAAGGCTAACTACATAATGCTACTTGACATGACATGCCAGGATACTGGAAGATACTGGTCGAAGAGAGTTCACAGAAGCTTACCGCACTCGCGACTAGACTACGAGTGGTCTATACGCATGGCGTGTAATGCTGTATGGGCTGCAGAACTCCGCTGCGACTTTTCAGAGGATTATTAATGAGGTACTTCAAAGGCATAGAGGCTATTCATGCACCTACATAGATGACATAGCAGTCTACTCAGAAAGCTGGGAGTCGCATGTACATCACTTGGACACGGTGTTGACCACTATAGCGGAAGTAGGTCTAATAAATAACCCGCAAAAGTGCCGGCTAGCACAAACGAAGGTTAAGTACTTGGGACATGTGGTTGGTTCAGGGTCTCACTCCTCTGACCCCGATAGGGTTACTGCGATAGTGCTACTGAAAACACCATGCACAAAGCAAGATCTGCGAAGTGTGCTAAAACTTTTTAATTATTACGGGGAATACATCCCCGCATACTCAGAGATAGTGGGCCTTTTGACTGACCTCTCCAACCACCGCGTACCTAACGGCATCCCGTGGAGCGTAGAAAGTAAGAGCGCTTTCAATGCTATTAAGCAGGCCCTGAAGGCTGTGCCTTCGTTAAGTGCTCCTCACCTGAACAAGGAGTTTGTGCTAACTATTGATGCTTCTGAAAGGGGTGTAGGAGCTTGTTTGGCTCAGAAGACAGATGGCAATCAGAAACCTATTGCCTTCCTCAGTAAGAAGCTCACTCCTCAGCAGGCAAAGTGGTCTGCAATTGAAAGAGAGACATTCGCTGTTGTGAGGCTGCTAGGTCGGTCGGACACCTCGTTATTTGGCACCAGAATGAAAATTGTGACTGATCACAACCCACTAACCTACCTTACCCGCTCCACGTCATCTAGTGCGCGACTGACCCGCTGGGCCTTGGCATTACACAAGTACATCTTCTTTTTGCACCCCATAAAGGGATCTTTTAATAAATGTGCCCATGCCTTGCCGCGATTGGTTAGCGGGGATCAGTAGAGAAAGCTTAAGGAGACAGGTGGGAGATTTTTTTCTTTCTTTTTTCATTAGTACTACAAAATGAGCACGTTGTGAATTAACAGTAAGAAAGTTTGTTAGATTTAAGCAGGCAGCGAGCATGTGGTTTGAATGTTCATTAATGTACAACAAGCGTTCATACAACATTCTTAGGTTGGAAGGAGTTATGATTGGGGCACGCGAAGGATGGCCAGTCGGTAAACGGAGCCCAATGTAAAGGAAAAAGAGGACTAAGCCGCTCGCCTCTGCACGCGTTTTTGTTGCCAAACCCCTTGAGCTTTTGTTCACCGCACCTTGTGCTGGTGAATTACCCGCACGGCGGAAGCATTCTCACAGTGAGCTAGACTGAGAAATAAGTGGGCCCTGTATCGACACTGCTCCCGATAGGGATAACCTGGCGCCGTGCTGTCACAATACATGTGGATAGACGGCAGCATAGTGTGTACTAACTCCAGACAGCGATTGGCTGACTAGACAGGCTTGTTGTCGCACGAAAGTATTTTTTAAGTGCACGTTGACGAAATAACGGAGTTCGTTACCTGATTTCTTGGAGGATGAGGTTAGCAAAGTGTGGGAACGCAGAGGCAGAGACACGTCTCTGAGGGAAGAAGAGTTGTTTGCTGCATTGGTAGAGCATCGAGAAGAGGTTTGTCCCACAAGGTGGTCTCAGATGAGACGGAGGTATTTAATAGAGAGAAATGAAGAAAAGGGGAACTTCGTTCTCGAGAACGAGATCGGGAAGCGGGGAACGAGGTCGTGCTCAGCGCTGACTCTGATCCAAGGTTGATACTACATCGATAAGTTGGTGTCAGTGTGTGGAGTATACGGAGGGCTCAGCAAGTAACGCCGACGTAAATACAGCCCAGTGCTTACTATGCGGTCGGTTTAGTGGCTGCCCCCGCCTCTGTTTGTAAATAAGTGTCTGTGTGTAAATAAACTGATGTTT